AAAATAAAGTATTCTACAGTATGTGTCTGTTCTATCGATATCTCAAGAACCTCTTGCTGGATTTCAATGAAACTTGTTACATGGATGCCCCGGAACAAAGCACAGAACTGATCAGTTTTAAGTTGCAATTATATGCATATGAATTTTCTAATTTGCTTAATAATTAACTAATTTTTTGTTTTTCTACTGATATCAACACATTTTAATGAACCTTGGTAGCTTGATGTACTTGGCATTGATCAGACCGGAATACTGTAGAGCTGATTCCCACACATATTAATTAGCTGATTTTCATAAATTAGGGAAATTATCTATTATCTAAATTACCACATGTTATATAGGTTTTCTCGGGGTTAAGTCATGTACATGTGTACGTGTTTAATTTGGGATTGAATTCTGTGCATACTAATTAAGTCATTTGCATAAATTAACCAATTAACCAAATTATATATTACATATTTTTTCCAATACCACTCATTTTAAATAGAACTATGTATATAGGTGCTTTTGAACCATCCAGAGACTTGATAACTTTAGAGTTTGAAATACATGCATATTAATTACCTAATTTACATAAATTTTGCAATTTTCTGATATCTTAATAACATGTACCGGATTTAAAATAAACCTTGGTACATAAATGCCCAAGACTGCACAAATACAAGCAGGTACATCTAAGGCAGGCATACTGTATTTATTTTTTTCTGCTGGAACAGCTGATATCTTAAAGTCCATACTTGATGTAATTTTTTTCCTAGGGGAAGAGGTCGAAAAAAAAAATGTAATGATTCCATGTAATTGAGTCATTCTCTAATTGAAGAATTACCTTATTCAAATTGTATATATCAATAGCTATTAGGACTATTATTAATTGTATAATAGAACAATTCCATGTACTTACCATAGTGTAGCAAAGATTTGGAAATTTGAATAGCATGAAAATGTTACTGTTGTAACACTGTTAATAGCACTGTATGCGTTGGAATAGAAGGATATTCAGACTTTCTTATATTAAAGGGAGTAGTCGTCGTGCCGCTACCTGTTCGATATGGGACTCATAGCGACGTATACAACACGTGTAAAATACATTGTTTATTTACATGTAATTCGAACACGCGCTGCGCGGCGACCACCATGCTTTAAGGTATTGCTGATTGTATGCACACTAAACAAAATAAAGTTTTGATTCTCTCTGAAAAAAAAAGTGAAAAATTATGTGATTTTAATTACACATATACATTGGGACATATTTAAAAAAACATGTGATGCGATGACTGTTGTTCTTTATAATTAATTCCTAACACATTCAATTATTGTATTTTCAGTTAAGTTGCAGTGTATCATCGTCAGAATCAATACAGCTGTCATCAAATAATGACTCAGTAGAGGCGAATCAGACTGTTTCTTATGAATTAACCTGTCCATACCCTACTGTAAGTCAAATGTATAAAATATTTACTTGATTACAGGGGTTTTCATTATGTTATACTGCATTCTGTCTCGACAACAAATTGCTTTTAATTATTAGATTTGAGTAAATCGAGGCATTAAAGCAGTCTTGTGTACCATTACAAAAATATAAACAAATGAGGTAACAGTATACTGTAAAATACTTTATTTTCACTTGGAATTAATTTTTGCTGAAGGAATAATTCAGTGAAAATAAAATCCAGCGAATATACATATATTTTACATTCAACTCGTAAAAATTCAGTGAAAATAAATTTCATACAAAACACCGAAATAGTCCTTTCAGCGAAAATTTATTCCAGCTAAAATAAATTATTTTACAATAACAGCCTTTTGACTATCTTAACTATGACAAATTCATGCTCATTAATGTAAGATGTTTGTTTTTTTCAGTATTTTATATTTAGTTGCATATTAGCAATGGTTGCCAGCATGGTGTTTTTACGTATTACATATTGGATGAAAGCCATATTTATGTTGGCAGCTCTGACTGCATATATCGTTATTCTAAACTACACACACAAATTGGTGTTTGATGCCTATGATTATACACTTTACCTTAATACAGGGTAAGTACACTCAATTTTATTAGCTCCCCTGTCGACTTTGTCGAGCGGAGCTTATCATATGAGTGATTGTTCGTCGTTGTCCGTGTCAATGTTTTACTTTTTAGCTCCGCTGTCGACTTTGTCGAACGGAGCTTATCATATGAGTGATTGTTCGTCGTTGTCCGTGTCAATGTTTTACTTTTTAGCTCCACTGTCGACTTTGTCGAGCGGAGCTTATCATATGAGTGATTGTTTGTCGTCGTCGTCCGTCGTCC